CCGAAGGCCTGGTGTGCGCGGTTGCTGTTCAGGCGCTCTGATCCGAGCGTGTCCCCATCGGAATACGGCCTTGATTAAGCGAGGCAGTGACGGTAACAAACGAGCGCTTGCCCAGGGTGACCGAAGCTCAGCTTTGTAGAGTGAGGTCTAGCACGCGCGCTGTCGGGTAGGTCGAGGTTGCCAAGGTCCATCGCTGTGTTTTGACTTTAGTGTTAGTGTTTTGATTGCGACGTGCCTGTGTCTTGAGCGTTAAGAATTACTTTAAGGTTTTGAACTGTTACCCCAACCACTGTAAGAAAGCATTGGAAAACTGTAGCTTAAACAGCTTCATTTTACTCGTACGCACAATTGTTTTGGTATTTTGAGGTAGGATAGTAGAGAGAATTTATTCCGTGTCCTGTAGGCACAGGACCAGGCGCCTGGATGCCTTGTCTGAGCAGGCAATTTTGGGCTCTCTGGCATTACTCTGTGGCCAGCTGTGGCATCAATCTGGGCAAAGATTATTACTAGAATGAATTCTGCCTGCAGAAGCTTGTGGTGGCCTGTTGACAACGGGACACTTTGACACCATTTATAAAGGTGTTGCGTTACGCGGGCGGCCGCAGGTACAGAGCTGGCCTGTGAGCAGTTTATTCTCTGAGAAGCAAGAGTCAACAGAAGTAGTGGCACTGTTGGTGCACAGTGGCAGGGCAGTATTCTTTAAAGGGGAATGTTTCATATGCGAAAGGTCAGCAAAAATGGAGTGCTCCAAAGTCTGGTGATATCGAGGGCAATCGAATAAGGGACCTGGATAACTTTTCTACACTGAACTCTGCAAACTTTACAGGCAGAAGATCTGCTCAGAGAAGCAGGATTGACTGAAGGAGATGGTCATTCTGCTCCTTGAACGGTGGCTCTGACGGCTGACGCAGAGGCAGGAATTGTGTGTCCAGATGACGACGGCGACGAGCCCGACAAGCACCTGCGGGTCTCTGGGTTGGTGGTGTAGCAGTGAATTGGTCCCAGTGGGACTAATATTCTGCAAGTAACTTGGAAAGAGAAAGCTTTGCTCAAAAGGCCCAGGGGCAGCCCAAGGACGTTGCTGTAGTGACTGGAGTAAATCTGGTTATGGGGATCCAGCACTGTGCAGGAGAGGGCACTCGTGGCTGCCCCTTACAAAAAGTCTGCCGCTGAATTGAGGAGAGAATTGGAAAAATTTTCCTAATTACAGGTTCACTCTGTTTCTGTATCCTGACATTTTGTCTCTGCTGGAGCGTAGGAGTTAAAACAGCCTGGGGAAAAAGTAGAAGAGAGGAAGGGAAACTACTTTTGACTCTGCACTTGCTTGTAAAAACAAGAGGCCAAGTTTTACCATAAAATGAGGAACATGTTCTCTGTCGTTATTCACCTCGGATGAAGTACTCCTGGTATGCGGGTGGCTTCCAGGTCTGGCTGCTCATCAGGGTTGTTGACAGCAGAGAGGGGTAAAACATTTCGTTTGCCGTGAGCCTGGGGCACCCCCTGGTAGAGGTGTTGTGGAAGGAGGGCTGAGGAGCTGTGAGAGGGCTTGGCTGGTGACGGTTCTGCTGTGATGGGGGAGAAACCCCGGTTAAGTCCTAGACTAGATTTTCCTAATGCTAGCCGCAGAAATCACTTCTGTGTTTGAATTTTTATAACAATCGTGTGTGGATTCTGTTTTTCTTTTTTTCGTCTGTGACAAGAAATCCTCCTCCTGAAGAAGAAAATTCTCTTCGTATTAAGCTTAGAACTAATATTGACCTCAGTTTTTTCTGTGTCTTGGAACATGCCCACAGGTTGGGAAGTAGAAGGGAAAAGGGGATCTGGGAAGGCTGACATGTTCTCTTTGCTGTGTGGTGGCCACTCTGGTCGGTGTGCTCGGGTGTCACCGTAACGCTGGAGGGCTGTAACCAAGAGCTTCTTCATGGCCGGACGTGACTATGGGAAGCTGTACGCCATGCCGTGACTGCTGTTTTTCTGTTGAAGTTACCAGCTTTATTTACTCTATTGAAAACCTCAAAAGTGTGAAGGGTTCTGTGGAAAAAAATGTCCCATGGTCCGTGTGGTATTCGGGCTTGGACAGTCACAGGTGAGTTGTGCTTAATCTCTGGTTGGAAACTGCTGCGTGGTATCACGTTGGCTTGATTTTGCATTATTTCCGATTTGTTGAAAAGCAGCATACTGAAGCCCAAAATACCAAACGCCTAGATTCAGCAAGTTTCAGACTTTATGTTAAAAGACTGGCTACTTGATAGATCTTTTGACATGGCTTTGTAAGCTGTCCTGCTCGGAGCCAAATGGTCAACAAAAAGCAGCTTTTGTCGGGGGTGCACGTTCTGTAACTTGTTCCAGGGAGTCCTCAGGGTGGCCCATAGCTAACCGTGTCACCCAAGAGGCTTTCGCAGCCGCTCGGTGCGTGTTGTGGGACGCAGGCCTTGCTCTGCAGGGTTAACAGCCCCCAAGCAATGCCTTGGTCTCCCGTCTCCCGGTTTAAAGAGTTCTTTACTTTTTTGAGGTTAATTTTATCCCGATCCCCGTACCTTCCTGCTGTGAACGGGTACCATCCCTGCCTGTTCGAGTTAGCAGGAGTCGTGGGATCGACGCCGCGCGTATCGCAGCGCAGGGACGCTAGCGAGCCAGTTAAACGGTGCGGGGTGTAAGGGCATTCCCAAGCACAAAAGCAAAGCCCCGTTTGCTTTTTGAGCACCGTCCCGCTTTCAGCATGTTCGTTTGCGGCAGGAGGGTTAGACCGACCTCGCTGACACCAGGTGCCTAAACAGATTCGTCGGATGGTTTTTCGTAAGCCTTTTCATTCAGTCCTGGAGAGGCTGGGGCCTGCCTGGCTGCCTCTGTTCGTGTTCCATTGCAATTTGTGGCTGGTCTGTGTTTTAGTCCAGAAGTTAGTTATAGTACATGCAAATGGAACTTTACTAGCAAATATCTCCAACTTTAATGCATGAATTTGTAATTGTGTGTGTTGGAAAAGCTTCTGGTCTTTCCTTTGAGTGTTGTACGTTCTTGCATCCTTACCCTCAGGATTTTTTTCCTATTTTAATTCCTATGCATCATGAATTTCTATGATTTAGCTAGAAAAATACCAGAAATGTATGGAATACAAGCATTGCAATATAAATAATATTTAAAAATACATTAATCCTTACTATATATATTTTTTTCCATGTCTGATACAGCGTAGCTCAGGTTGTGTACCTAGCGTTTCAGCGTTACTGGTTTTGACAGTGTTAGGCTGGTTTGGGCATGGTATTGAACAACAAGACAGAAAAAAGTGAATGGATTACTTAATAAAATTTAAATAAACCTGAAACAGTTGCCAGTGCAACAAAACAATGAGTGGGCCATTTCAAAATTGTGCTTCTGCTTTTAGAAGGGATCCACAGGGACAATAAACCCAACACGTGTACAGTAAAAATCTGATCTTTGGAAGTAACTCTGCCAGTAGTGTGTTGGTATCTTAGCAGCGTGAATAGCAATCTTCAGTTTTATTTGTTAAATTAAGCGTGTGCAGCAACAGCCCTGGGCGTTGGGCCGCTCACTGAGGAAGGACTGGCCAAACCCCGGTGAACACGCTCTAACGGCTTCCGAAATCACCGGTGTCACCCAGGGCATCGCTGCGTAATTGTGACCCAACTGTCCTGCCTTCGCTGCTCGTGTCTTCAGATGGGGCGGTTCTCAGGGTGAGCGGCTCTGCCTTGAACGTCCACAGAACAAAATACTTGACAATGTAAAAGCGAGGTGTCTTTAGGTCCGTAAAAGGATCCTGGTTGCTTGAACGGGAATGAAATCCCGATGACGTTTGTGTTGATGCACAGTTTTCCAGGTACTGTGACAGCTGAGGTAGCTACAGGGTGTGTTTTGAGGACCAGGTCTGTGTAGTATCGTAATTCAGATTTCGTTTCAAGGTGGGTGGTAAAGTCCATATTTCTGGTTCACCTTGGTGAGAAACATCAAAGCATAAATAAAACTGGTTGTTCGTGGGTTCATGTTTCCTGCTGCGAACGGTGCGTTATGTTTTAGATCTCATCGCTTTAAAGCAGATTTGCAAATTTTTTTTAGGTCAAACATCCGGCCAGACTACGCAGACACAAGCTTTCATGAGTTCAAAATGCACACCTTCAGTCGCGTGACGTCGTGCAAAGTCTGTCAGATGCTGCTGAGGTAAGATTTTAAAGGGGTGGGTTTTCCCCCAGGTGAAATACATGAGTCAAAGGAGTTTGTGGGGATACGTGGCTATCGGTCACCTGTCCAAGACGGCCAAGCCATGAAGCCATACATAGTATTTCTCATTGTATTTGCAAGTTTGGGGTTGGACTAGATGACTTCTAGGGGGGGTCCCTTCCAACCCAAAACATTCTATGATTCTATGAAGTTTTTATAATCAAATCTCCAAATGCTGGCAGGAGTGCTGGTAAAAGCCCAAAACCTCAGGATGCTCCTCATTCATCAGGAGGCTTCTTCGTCATGATTCTTTTGTGAGGATTACTTTATTTAATACAGGACTTCTTAAGTAAGAGTAAGTGACGACCGTTTTGTACAGCTTTGACTGCCGTGGATATTCCACATGCCCTGTTCCTTTTTTCTCTTTAGGTGATTCCCTCCCCGCCCCCACCCCCCCTGCCCAATGCAGTAGGGAGGTTTAAGTGACTACGAAGACCGTAGAGGTGGCGGGGCTGATTTCTGAACGTGAAGCAGTGTAGTTAAGTCACCGTCGCTCTGTTGTGCACTGACGGCTGTCTTGCTTTCGGGATGCAGCCTGCACGATGCTGCGTCGTTGTGCATAGCCTGGGTATCCCCGAGTGCTGGTTGTGGGATGTGGACGTGTTCCTGGGTATCTAAGCTGTATTGAAAGCCTACTAGGCTTAGCTGCATGAAGTGCCTAAATCATTTTTAAAACGGATCGTTGTTTTAAGTTTCAAACATAAGCTAACGTGTAAATACTTGGGTAAAAAAATTTGAACCTTAGTGCCTAATCTTTGTGGGGATAAAACCCTAGTCTTAGAAGCGTCCATAGTGAAGGCTAATGCTATGTCCTACGCTTTTATCTACAGAATCTTGTGTTCCTGTGTAGCAATAAGGAAAAAAATAAAAATGGAAGACTGTATTAAAACATTTTTATACTTTCTACTTATTTGTCTTTAATTTTGTGTATTACGATACTTAGAAATACTGAGCTTCTGAATTTAATTAAAAATATATTTCATCACCTACAGTCTAGAAATTGCTGTAGTAAATAGCAGTTGCTGAACATTTCGTTTGGGTTTAACTTGTTCAGTCCTGGGCTCCATACGAGACACCTGGTTTTCCTTCAACGCTGGAGGGGTCATGTTAGACTAGGATGCATAATCACTCCAAACTGGTCGGGATAACTTTGGAAACAGCCAAGCCTAGTGAGAAAAGTAGGCAGATACATCAGTAGGTGGAACCCATACAATTGCTGAGAGGTCCACATAAAAAGCTGTTTCCCCGTTAGCCATGGAGTGAATCGTACCTAAGAGAAAAGCCACGCACAATCCCGAAAATGAATCGGTTTCCTCAGACTCAAATTCAGCTTCCAATTCATGAAGGGGAATTGGGAAACATTTAAAGTAAGGAAAGTGACTTCTGATTTAGCAGCTCTGAATAGTAACTAAAGGGTACCTGGATATCTTTTTTGGGGGTTTTTTCTTTTTTTTAAATGAACAAATTTGAAGTCAAGGATATTTGCAGTGTAGTCTATAACGCCTCAATGTTTGAATATATATTCGCTTACAGCTCTCTTGAAATGGATCTTATTCTTCATGGTGTCTGGGCAAATTCCTATTGAGATGAAGGGAAGTGTGGATCTGCAGTAGGATAGACACGTAATGGTACCATTTCAAGTGTACTGTGCCAAAGTGGCTTTGGGCTAAATCGAAATGGAGGTTGTTATCCTACCGGGAGTCCAGAGGAGCTGTCTGGTTGTGTTTTTTAAATGGCTGGTAGTGGCAAAAAGCAGATAAGCTGCTTGTCATTTGTCACTTTTTCTCAAGCCTTAAGACTATCATTGTGCAGAACAGCACATGACTTCTAATACCTTCGGCCATGTCTCTTATTTCCTTTATGCTTGGAATTTATCACCTCTAATGTATCACTACCTCATTTTACTTTACAGGGGAACATTTTATCAAGGCTATTTATGTTCCAAGTGCGGAGCTGGCGCACACAAAGAATGTTTAGGAAGATTAGACAATTGTGGCAGAGCTAATTCAGGTGGTAAGTCATTTTTATTGTTAGAATACCATTTTTAATTAGGACATAAAACTTGCTAGATATAATTAAGGTTTAATTTACCTCTAATTTGTGTTTATTGTAACATACATACTTGTGAAACTACCATTTATAAGCACAATTAGAATTGCATTTAGAATTCATAGGGGTTTTTATTGCTACTAAATTGAAATGTTTGAAAGCAGGAGAGAACTGTTACAGGTAAAGCCCAATTTCTTTGCCCATGACGTATACAACACGGAATTGTGCTTGTTTTCATCGTAGACTGCTCGTGTGTAACACCTACTGTATGGTGCGACGTGTGTCATCCTTGGGGTCTCCCTCTATGTCAATGTTCATGTTTTCCTCTCGACTCCTCTCGCTGTTTGCTTGCGTTGCCTCAGCTTTCTCTTGCATGTCTTTGGTTCCCATGGTTTCTGTCCACTCGCAATACTCAGGAAAGGGCGATCGATGGCGCTCTGCTTCCCACATCTGAGGACTGTTCTTTTCCTCCTCTTTTAATCGATGGCTGTACTCTGCGAGTCTCTTCCCTGGCCATTGTTACTTTGCACTTCTATTCTTGTTCTGCCCTTTGGGAGCTTAAGGACTCTTTTGACTTCAGCTACCATTTGGTCTCCCTCAGATGACTCCAAATCTGACCTCTTCCCTTTCTGCTCGGTATTGTGCCTCTAACTCTTCTGGATCTCCCACTGCTAATGCCAAATGTTAGCTCTCATCATTTGCCCCCCTTCCCTTCCCTCCCCTGTACCCTTCAGCGGGTGGCAGTGGGTTTGCTACTCGCCAGCCAGCCACGTAACTGTAGTGCCTTTCTGACCCTTCCTTCTGTCCAGGTTCTTAGCTATTCTTTCTTCTTTCTAGGGATGAGTTGGTGCTGATGGGGGCGACAGCCGACACGGGAAAGTGCAGTCGCATATTTTGGGGAGGTTTCTGACTAATTGTCCTGCCTACTTCTCTAAAACCTGTACATTCCTTTCCAGAATTACTTCAGAATAGTGTGTGAAGTTTCTCATGTCTCACACCTCTCTCATAAACCTCTGCACCCTCCATTGGGTTATTTTCTTTTTGATGTTGCTGTCTACAACCTTTGCAAAATGCTGCTGCAGAGTTACTCTCTCTAGCACTGCTTGAATTACATCATGACTTCATCCGCTGCTCTGCACTGAGCTGCTGCTTCAGGAATTTGGTTCTCGCATTTTGTCCCTTTCAAAGTGGTACCAGCTTGTTTCTGTCTTTGCCCCTGTGTGCGTGGCTTCTGGCTCACTGTGCTCTTTGCCACTGCAGTCATTCCCATCGTCGGATTGGCAGGCACCGACTTCTGCTGCAGCCAGCAAACTTTTGTTTTCTCAGTTGCCTTCCTGTGTTGGAGATTGTCGATGCTATCCTCCAAGTCTGGGCTTTTTAAAAATAACCATTTGTAGATCTGAAAACCATACAGGCAATTGCAGTATTTTTCATCAAAATCCTTTTTGGAACACAGGTTTTTCACAGATCCTCCTACGGATATTCTAAAGAAAATAAATATTTAAAATTACAGTAAAATTTGAGTATTTTAAAGCAATGACATTTAAATTAATAAGTGTGGAAAACCAAACCCGTACTGTTGTTCACAAGACAGCTATCTTGTTTGGTATAAACCACCCCTACTTCTACTTTTTTCTTTCCTTTGTACCTTCTGTTTTAATTGCTTTTGTAGTTTTTATTTTAATCGGATGGCTGGCACCCTGGGAGGCAGGAGCCTGTCTTTGTATTCCCCTGTAAAGGTCAGCGGACACACGGTGCAAGGCATATCAGTAAGAATGACCATGTACCTAGACAACAGAAGGCCTGATTCCTTGCTGGTTTTCTGCATGTGTACTTAAGTAATGCTGTGCACTTGCTAGAGGGAACCACGTAAGGAAAAAAAATCACATTTCTGCTTCTTTGTAAGTGGAATAAATTATCTTTTTACAACTTCAAAGGAGCAGAACGTTATTTTGGGTCTTACTTTAAATCATTGCCCTGATTTTTGTAAAACGATACTGTACCGAATGTTCTTTAGTGAAGCTGGAAGCAGCTGGCTTGGTAAGGTGCTGTTTTGTGTTACCTGTGTAGCTTACGTCCAGGCGCTCTGCTCTGTCCTCTCTTCGGACTTCCCTTTCTCTTTTCAGTCTATTTTTGTTCTGTGCGAAGGCTCCCAGGTTTCTGTAGCTGCAGTACAGGCTGGAAGGGTTGCGTGTCCTCCTCCAGCTCCCGCGGCAGAGTGACGGGAGGTGCCAGGCTGTGGCTCCCTGGCAGCCTGCGCTGGGAGCGGCTCACAGCTGCAAACCCAAACTCTTCATTTCAGTTCTTGCCCTGCTGCCCCTTGCGCTATGAATGAGCACGGAAGGGACAAGCGGTTTTGCCCCCTTTGAAAATGTGTTCTCTCTCCACCTGATGAAGGACCTTGGCCAATGAGTAGGAGGGGACATCTTGAGACTCTTCCTTAATATTTTCCATTTTCACTCTTGATTTGCCTTTTTAAAGAAAAGCGTTGATTGAGCAGCGCTGCCCGTTCATGATGTGCACAGAGTAAGGAAAGGTTTAAGGAGGAGCTTTGCCAGTTCCTGCTTCCCTAGATGGTCCAGAAAGGGACGGGACAACTGAGACTCTTCTAAATACTGGCTTGTGCAACTTGAGTGTGAATGATTTCCCGGAGCTGTGTTTTCACTTCTCGAGAGCTGTGCTGAGAAATGAGATCTCCCCCGAGTTGTCTGCCATGCCTGCGGAGTTATGGAGCATTACTAAAGGAATGCAGACACAAAGATTTCATGTAAAATCTAAGACACAAAGATTTCATGTAAAATCTAACAGTTTCACTGCACTTGGTGGAAAAAGTGTGCTCTACATGCACAAAATTCTAACGTAGTTTTAATTTTGAAGCTTTCCCTTTTGAAATCCTTGAAGAAATTAATTTATAATAAATTAAATTTTTTTAGTGGTGTCATGTGCTGCTCCTGTGGGACATGAGCAAAGGTGGCCGGAGAGTGCTATTAGATAGAAACTGTGGAGCGTAGCCGGAATGCTTCAACAGTAGCGAAATGCCTGGAACATTTCTGTATGGCTGTGTATTTCTTTTGTTTCTAGAGGACTATTACAGCCTTTCTCACAGGGTGCAATGGGCATGAAACACAACCATCCATTCAGGAAACTGGACATTATTATTCCCCAGACATGTGGTATTAGTTACAGCCATAGACACGGAAAATATAAAAATCTATATCTATATCTCCCTTGATATATGTGTGGTCTGTTCAGTCGGGGGTTCTGTCATCCTGCCAACGGTTGATTCCATATGCTTCACAGGGAGTGCAAATCCTCTGTGCGGGAGGCGATGCCCAGGAATGATGCTACTTTCTTAATTCTGTTAAATTTTCTTTTTATCTTTTTGGTATTCTTTTTACATTCTTGTTAATGCTTTTGCATAGCTTCCCTGTTTTTGTTGATAAAAATATCTAGCTGTACTTCAGAAGTTTCGGAACAGTGAGTCCTGTAAAGCTTTGGTTTGGCTTTTGGATTTTGCTGCCTTTTTTGTAGGTCGCACACCTTATCCTGGCTATGTGTGACCTTTTTAATTTAAGATGCAACTTTGTGGGGGTTTGTGAGAGGAGTCAGTGGAAGTCTTGACTGGCTGCTTCTGTATGCTAAACTGTCTTACCACTTCTCGTGACCTCTTGATAGTATACTCTCTGAACTGAATAGTCTTAAATTTTTTTATTATCTCTTCATAAGTGGAAATTTTTCTGTTCCTTGAATCATTTTCGTTCCCATTCTGTAGACCTCTACTATTTATAGCAGTTTGTTTGAAAAGAGGTGATCAGAATTCAAAGCACTGCAATGAGAATATACCATCAGGTTTCTTAAAGGCATTTGAATTTTCCCCAGCATTTTCTGTTTCTCTGCAGTTTTCTTTTTAGACCACCGAGCAGATGTGTTTGCTAGCCTTCCTGAAATGATGCTTAGAACCTCCCTGGGTGGATTAAATATTTTTGTATTTCATTCCAAGTCACAGTGTGTGAGAATTCAAAAGACAGACATCCAAAGGCAGATGAAACCTTTAGAATGACAAATTTAATAAGTGTCAGATTTAGATGATACACTTCAGAAACATCATCAAAATCTGAAGATAAATTGCTGTGCTGTCGTGCTATGCCTTATACGCAAACATATGCCAGCTCTTCAGATGTTCTGCTTCAAAGAAGGACAGTTGAGGAGACTGTAGAAGTTGCAGCAATAAAACATGCAAAGTTAATCAGTTGCATTAATAAATAGAACAAAATGTCTGCATTGCGCCCTTCGTTTTTTGTTATTGTTCCTGCCCTTGTTGCCGTGAATTGGCAGTGCTGGTTGAAGTCATCTGTGCTCATTTCTGCCATTATTGATTTAACTTCTTTCCCCCCAATGCTGCCCTGTACATGCTCAAGGACCCTTCTGCATTTACCTTTATTTTACTTTTATGCCCTATCACTTAATTTTTCTGGGACTTGAAATCCTCCGTGCCCCTCTTTTTTGCTAACGTTCTGATGAACTCCTTCAAGTCCGATGGTGCAGTCTTAAACACAAGGCCTTAAGAAATCCTTAAACACAAGGCCTTACAAAATCCTTAAATGCAAGGATTGCGAAATGGATGTGCATATTTCTCTGATGGGGACATTTATAAGGACACATGTGCTGTTCTTTGGTGGCTGATGTGGAGGTCTCCTCTTCCCGTTCTACCTCCTCTGGCTTCTCAGCTGCACTCCTATGCCTCATTTCAAAGCACTGGACAATTTGATTTCTCTGGTGATGCTCTCCCACTGATGGGAAGGGTTTCGATTTGGGGGTGGTTACGAGTGGGACCTTTGATAAGCAGGCATGAGTAGGACACCTGCAGCAGACAAAGGGAGAAGCTGTCCCCCTCATTATTCCCACTTCCATTGTACAGGTGGATCTGTGGCCCTTGCAGTTTCTGCAGGATAGCTCTGCCCAGAAGGTCCTGCAGAACCCCAGTCTGTTTCCTGGTCTAAACCAGCGGAATTAACAATCCATTCCCATTGCCGTACTGGAATTTTTCCAAGTCTGTCCAATTATATTGAATTAAGTGTTCTCAGGCAAATGTTTGCTGGTTCCACAGACTATTGAATATTTCAATTAGATGAACCTCCAATAATGGTTCTAGAATCTGGAAATGTTTTGAATATTTTAAATACAGTGCCAAACCCACAAAATTTTCTTCTTTATATCACTGTTCCCAGGGAAGCATCTCTCATCAGGGCATAAATGGATTAGAAAAACATTAACTGGGCATTTTTATAGTAATTCTTAGTTAACTTATGCACGATTCCTTTCTTCTTCAGCTAATTCCATTTGAAAAGGTACTACGTTTCCTTAAGTGGAAAAGAAGTTTCTTAAATGAGTGATGAACTTGCAAGAAAAAGTTTCCATGAGGATGGGTTAAGTTTAGAGTTGCCCAATAATATAGACCATGCTATTTACGTAATAATTTCTTGCTGCAGCACATTAGAGATTATTTGTAAAAGCATGTGTTTGACATCTAAAAAGAAACCAGCTGCTTTCCCTGCTTACCTTTTTGCTGGCTTGATCAATAGCTGCAAAACTGCTGGCTGTCCTCCAAACCTACCACGTCAACAGCACTGACAAGTAAACCCTCAAATCCCAGAATGTTCTTTGGAGTTATGCCACTTTTTATTTGACTGCAGCAAAGGTTGAGCTGTGTTGTTTAACCATCCTTGCTCAACCTGAACAGAAGTTGCTTAGGGGGCTTGGTATTTTGTGCAGAGCCCTACACTGTGGTGCTTCTGGGTCACAGCTTGCTTTCTTCTGGTGAAGCAGCGACTGGCCAGATGACTGGAAAGGAGCAGGTAGTCCCACAGCTCCATCAAAGTGGCTTACTTTATAGTTCCTGCATTTTAAATATTTTGAATTTCGTGTTAAAATAGGAAGGTGAGTAGTTCACTACATAGTCTTTTTATTTACTCTCCACTTAGCGTGTAAATCCAGCTGCTATGCGGCATCCCTGAGGAGCAGCTTATTCCCATTCCCCGATCTGTGCTCCCTCACTTATCGATGCCAGCTGCTGCTCCTGTTGCTTTTGCAGTAAAATATAATTGTCAAAATGTGACCCCATGGTATCGTGGCCTCAGTAAGTAAACAAAAACCCCTAAAAATTGTGCTGAACTGTGGCAGTAGCAGTAGCTTGCTGTCAGGCTGAGAACTCACTCACTTGAAAATTTCATTGGCACGTTGGTGATGAGCAGGAACTTGAATTAAAATTGTCATGTGTAAAATACCTGCTGGTGGATAGCCTCAGACATTCATTTTTTTCCCCTAAAAATAGAAATAAATAGAAATGAGGTTTTTTTGCTCTTGTACATGTGTCACATTCGGAAAAAAGATCTCTCATGAGGAAGCAATTCACATAATTCAATACAGAATATCCTGAAATACAGGAATACTTACACTGTAATGAAATAACAAGACAAGCATAGGTCTTATTTTTTGAATAGGCTTTTATGTGCAAATAGAGATACCGGATATTTTTCTTTTCCTGAAGTGTTAATAGTGAAGTCACAAACGGCATTTTGGTCTGTCTGTGTTGGCAAAATTTTGGGCTTTCTTTTTAATCCAATCCCCCCATGTCCCTTTTAATGAAATTTATTTTATGCAAATCATCAGGAGTATTTATTACCTTCCTACTAGTGCTTTCTTGAATCCAATTATTGAAAGTTGATCAATGAGTTTCTTAATTATTTATTAGTACAAGTGTTGGGATGCTGTGCAATCACCAAGTGGAACTCATTCATCTAGTTAGGTTTGGGATATTGCCTAGAGGTAAAAATAATATTCAACAGCAGCTCTTAAAAATCATGTTCATTCATTCCCGCTGGAGGATAGAATGACATTTCCATTTCATTTTTTTGATAAGAGATCTGCAGAACTAAATATAGGCCATTTAAAAAAATCAACCCCCCAACCCTCCTAGGTCTGGATTTGACGTTTTGTGCCCCCCCCGTTCTTGCCTGAATGACTTCCCTTCACTTGAGCTCATTTATCATGCTGAGATGAAACATTCAAAAGAGGTGTTTTTATTCAGATTTTGGTAAGAATTCTGAAGGGCGTGCCAAATTGCGAAAGTAAATACCAAAATTATATTGAATTTCAGCAGCACTTAAGCAACTAATTCCCTCAGGCTCCTCAGAAAACCTCAGTTGTCTGCCTGCATCTCCTCCTTAGGGGCGGGCTTATTTCTCTTCTCTTTGCTCACTCCACAAATGCAAATTAATACTTTTGGAAGGGCTATAATCGTGAAAGTGTTTTCTGTGGATGGCGAGATGACGCGCCTTTGGCGCGCGGTGTGAGAGGAAACGGGGACCGAAGGCGTACGTGCGGCGGGAGCCCTGCCCCAGGTAAACGGGCCCGGCCCAGAGCCCTCGGCCGGCTTCGTCCCGGCATGTCTCGCCTTCTTTGCATAAAACGATAGAAAGCCAAAGGGTTTTTTTCCCACACTTCACTATTTAATGTCTTTTTTTTTTTTTTTTTAGCAGAACAAAATGTACTTACAGTTCAAGCGTTTTAGTTGATCTGCTGTGAATGCGGCTTACTGTTCACACTATATGGCAGCGCGAGTTTTCAAATGCGCGGCAGCACAGACCAGGCGCGTGCAGTTTGTGCTTCTGCCTCAGCAGCTTGCGCAGTCCTGGGGAGTGCCCCCAGGCACACACAGCTGTGTGCTTCGGTACGGCACCGCACCAAACCCTGCAGTACACCGAAATACCTGTTACCAGGTCCGACGTTCAAAGGAAAACGTGAAAAATTACCCCTCTTTGTGTCGTGCAAAAGCGTTGCTGTCTTGGCGCAGTCCATCTCGTCACCTGCAGGACTTTATTCTTTTTTTCCTCATTTTTAAGTAGTACAAGAAAATTCATAGCAAAAGAGGGAAATAAAACACCGATGGCTTCAGAGTCTGTGGTTTACTAATGCAGTGCTGAATTGAACTTAAAGACACGAAATATAGAAAATTTTGCAACTGAAGGTGTACGTCTTGTCTTGGTACAAGTTGGCATGCTGCGAAAAGAGAGAGGCAGGAAAGGTGTCAGCTCGACTTGCAATTGAGAACTGTGGCTTCTGAATCCCCAGCGAGTCAGTATTTATAAAGCAGTTTTGAAATGTTCTAAAAGTTTACAAAGCGTAGCGGGCCAGATTGCCGCGCCGCTGCTGGGGAGTGCGGCAGCACCTGAGCAGGGAGCCTCTCAGCCTCTCCCCGCCGGCCGGCGCTGCGCGGCAGGACCAGTGCGTGGGGAGGAGCGCGGCGGGGTTTGCACAACAGGACCTGGCGCAGCCCCGGGCTGCCGGGACGGCTGCGGGTTTCGGGTAGCGAAGGAAGGCAGCGGTGTTTTCTGTAATGCAGCGCAGCACAGAGATTGCTATCTAAAAAGCGTACAATTTACAATCGTCAATAATGCCAATTTTTACTTATGTTTCAGAACCCGGGAACCTGAAACACGAGGTAAGGATTTGTTTTCCTTTGCATGCCATGTTTGTTTTGTTGGTGACCTGAGAGCTCCTTATTTACTTTGTGCATGTGCTGTTGGAGCAGGTATGCTTTTCTTCTGCGTTTAACAACAGATTTCTTTAGAGTGGTGGAAAATAGAAGTTGTCTAAGAAACAAGGGATTTATGATTAAATGTAAATGTTCAAAGTGAGAGTCAATTTTCAGCTGATAGGGCTTAATGCCGAGAGCACTGGAAGGGGTAGAGATGTGCCTTTTAAGTTACAGGTAAAAAACAGGCGTTGCTTCACAACTGATGTCTAGATCCTTACTGTTCCTAGACCAAATCTGGCAGTAGAGTTAAAAGTAATGTTTTTTGTTTTTTTTTTTTAATGCTAGTGAGTGGCATGCTAGTGTACCACTTGCCACTTCAGGCTGCTGGGCAATGGAGGATGGGCAGGGAAGCGTCTGCCTCTTCACGTAAGAAGCCTTCAGTTGCAGAGCTGTCCAGCAGTTACGGGGCCTGTGGCGTCGGGGCGGGAGGGCAGAACGGGCCCTGGCGGAGGGGCTGCCGTGGTGCCCTGGTGCTCCTTGCCGTCAGCCCAAGGCCGCAGGCTGCCCGGGGCCATCTTCTCGCCAGCCGCTGGTGCCTTCCGCTGAGGCACAGAAGGGCCTGGCACGTGGGTCTGCCCGCCAGCTCTGACAGGAAAGAGGCAGCACGTTAGATGCGGAGTGTCACAGCTCCTAGCATCTATTTTGGAGGGGAAGTTTATGGTAATTTAGCTGCTTAAATGACACGCTGATTATGAACAGTGTGCAAGCGTGTGTTGCTTCTCTCCCTAAGCATGCGTTCGGGGCTGCCACCGGCACGGGTAGCTCGGGAGGGTGTCACTGCTGACC